CTGCTGCTGCTGCTGCCTCCTGCTCTGGGGAGCTCTGCTGCCGGGGGGTTTGGCTGTGCTGTCACCCCACACGACCCTCTGCTCCCCCTCCAGCCTGGTGGGGGAGAGGTAGGAGTGTGTCTTTTCTCTAAATCATAGAATCAACCAGGCTGGAAAAGACCTCCAAGATCACCAAGTCCAACCCTACTGTGGTTACCAGACCATGGCACTAAGTGCCACATCCAGTCTCATCTCACAAACCTCCAGGGATGGTGAATCCACCACCTCCCGGGGCAGCACATTCCAATGCCTGAGCACTCTCTCCCTGAAAAATCTCTCCCTAATGCCCAACTTAACCCTCCCCTGGCAGAGCTTGAGTCTGTGCCCTCTTGTCCTCCTGCTGGTTGTCTGGGAGAAGAGACCAATCCCCACCTGACTCCACCCTCCTGCCAGGGAGTTGGAGAGGGTGCTAAGGTCTCCTCCTGCTGGTTGCCTGCAGGATCAGGCACCAATAACTCCCCCGACATCCCAATCCTTTCCTTGGAGCCCTTCCGGGGGGTTGTCCTTGCCTCAGTTTCTCTCCCTGTTAGCAGCTTGGGCTCTGTGCTCCTGTAATTGTAATCACAGCCTGGAAATTGCTTGGAGATGCTCAGATGGGAGAAGCTGTAGAAGGGCCAAGTTAATTAGGAAGCCTCATTAAATGGTTTAAGGAGTGTGCAGGGCAGTGCCTTGGCACGGCTGGATCTCTGCTCCCGGGAGACTGAGCTTTAGCCACGCTTGGAATTGAATTCCGTGCCCTGTGCTTTCCTCCTGCTCCTCCCCACTCCCTGTTTATCCCAATCCCTGTCTGTCTCCTTCTCTGCAGGTACTACCAGAGCATGTATGACACTCCAGAGAACATTGGGATGCAATATCCCGAGGGGCTGAGCCCAGAGGAGACCTTGGAGTATGTCACAGACACAGCCAAGGTTCCTACTCCATGTTTTCTTTGGCTGCTCTAGCCAGGGTGGTTGGAGAGGGGAAACTGGTTGGAAAAGGAGCTGGAAGAGGAGTCAGGAAGGGTTTGGGTAGGGATAGATGGAAGCAGGGACATGGGGGATTGGGGCAGGGGCAGATAGAAGCAGGAATATGTGGAGAGTGAGGGAAAAACTGGTGGGAAAAGGGGCAGAGGGAGTCAGGAAGGATTTGGGAAGACGTGGGTGGAAACAGGGACACGGGGAGAGCTGGAGAAGGGCAGGGAGAAGCTCTGAGCAGTGGCGAAGGCCGTGCCTGCCGTGCTGTGAGGATGTGTGGGTGTCCCTGCTTCCCTGGCTCCCTCATTCCCTGCTTCCCTGTCTCCCTGACTCCCTGTTTCCCTGTCCCTGCAGGCCCTGGCAGAGCTGGGCACGGTGGTGGCACGGGCACTGTACCGCCTGGCCGGGGGAGCCAGCAGCGTCGATGCCATCCAGGCAGACCCCAGAACGGTAAGAGCAGGGGGAAGTGAGGCCCTGGCAGCTCTGAGGAGTCCTCACATCCCTCCCTTCTGTCTCTGTTTGTGCTGACACAGCAGCCTGTCCTGGCTGCTTCCAGGAGGGCTTTGCTTCCTTCCATCCCTTCCCTCCTCCTCCTCCACCACAGTGGAGTGAAAATCCTTCACCTTCTCTCATTGCTTCTCATGAGCTGCTCCATCCTCAGAGGTGAAGTGGCCACATGTGCCACAGGGGTCAGCTAAGGAGTCAGAGCATCATGGTGTGTTCAGGGCTTGGAAAGGATCTTAAGGATCATCTGGTCCCAACACCTCCCACCAGAGCAAGTTGCTCAAGGCTTTACCCAGCCTGGCCTTGATGAGTGAATCATGGAATGGTTGGGGTTGGAGAGGACCTTAAAGCTCATCTCATTCCACCCCACTGCCCTGGGCAGGGACAGCTCCCACCAGAGCAGGTTTTGCTCAAGGCTTTCTCCAACCTGCCTTGAGTCCCTGGAGTTGGAGTCCAACCCAACTTCCACAGCTCAGTCCTGATTCTATACAGCTGTGGCACACTCTTCTTGGCTCTGCTCTTGGCCCCTGTGGTAGGAAACATCTGTCAGCCAAAGCATCTCAAAGAGTTTTGCTGTTCAGGTATGGTTTTTTCTGCTCTTTGGTAATTCCATCTCTTCCCAGGTCACCAGAATGCTCTACGGGTTCCTGATTAAAATGAACAATTCCTGGTTCCAATCCATCATTAAACCAGACCTGAAAGGAATTCTGGGTAAGCGCAACACAGGGAAGAAAGACAAGAGGTTGGGTTTGCCCCTAGATGTTCCTTGGCAGCTTTGTATTGGCCATTTCCCCACCAATCTCATTTTTCCAGGTGATGATGTTCCCCAGCACTACGTGGCTGTGTCCAGCCCTGTGAACACAACCTACCTGGTGCAGTATGTCCTGGCCAACCTCACTGGCACCGTGGTGAACCTCACCAAGGAGGAGTGTCAGAACCCTGAGAAGACACCCAACAGTGAGAAGGAGGTCAGTGGCAGCATGGACAGGCCCACCTGGCTGGGTCCTGCTTTGGAGAGAAGATGCTGGTCATAACACGTGGGAGAACTGGGACACTCCTACCCAAGGAGACACCTCAGTGCCCAAGGGCAGGGAAGGAGTGAGTGAAACAGGAGCATCAGCTCAGGTGGCCAAGAAAGCCAATGACACTTGGTTGCATCAGCCATGGTGTGGCCACAGGGCCAGGGCAGGGATTGTCCTCTGGGGAGGCACCTCCAGGGATGGGACATCACTGACAGACACTGAGGGGCTGGAGGTGTCCAGAGGTTGGGAGTGGAGCTGGGGAAGGGCTGGAGCATGAGGAGAAGGGGCTGGAGAACTCCTGAGGGAGCTGAGGGGGCTCAGCCTGGAGAAAAGGAGGCTCAGGGGGAACTTCTGCTCTCTCCAACTCCCTGGCAGGAGGTGCAGCCAGGTAGGATCAGGCTCTGCTCCCAGGGATGGGACAAGTAGAAACAGCCTCAAATTGTATCGGGGAAGAATTCAGGAAGAATTTCTACATGGAAAGGGCTGTCAGGCATTGGAATGTGCTGCCCTGGGAGGTGGTAGAGTCACCAGCCCTGGAGATGTCCAAGGACTGGACATAGCATTCCGTGCTCTGCTCTAGGTGTCAAGGTGGAGATCAGTTACAGCTTTTACTCAATGACCTTGGAGGCCTTTCCCAGTAGTTGCCAAGGTGGAGATCAGTCACAGCTTTTACTCGATGACCTTGGAGGCCTTTCCCAACCTCAGTGATTCCACAGAAGGATCCCCTTGGGGTGGGAGCAGTCAGCAGAGCCTTTCCCCCCCAAAGAGCTGTTGGGTGGGTGTTGTCTCCTGTCCCTCACTGCCCTCTGTCCCCAGCTCTACGACTATGCCTGGGTACAAGGCTCCCTGGGGCCCAACTCCACGGCCAGGACACCTTTCTGCGTGCGCTCCACGGTGCACCTGAGCAAGGCCCTGTCTCCTGCCTTCGAGCTGCGCCAGTGGAGCTCCACCGAGTACTCCACCTGGACCGAGAGCCGCTGGAAGGACATCCGCGCGCGCATCTTCCTCGTGGCCAGCAGGGAGCTCGAGGTCAGTGTAGGGGCACCTTCCCCGGGGCCAGCAGGGAGCTCCAGGTCAGTCCTGGGGAGACCTCATGGCCAGCAAGGAGCTCCAGGTCAGTCCTGGGGGCATCCCATGGCCAGCAGGGAGCTCCAGGTTAGTCCTGGGGGCATCCCATGGCCAGCAGGGAGCTCCAGGTCAGTCCTGGGGGCATCTCATAGCCAGCAGGGAGCTCCAGGTCAGTCCTGGGGGCATCTCATAGCCAGCAGGGAGCTCCAGGTCAGTCCTGGGGGCATCTCATAGCCAGCAGGGAGCTCCAGGTCAGTCCTGGGGGCATCTCATAGCCAGCAGGGAGCTCCAGGTCAGTCCTGGGGGCATCTCATAGCCAGCAGGGAGCTCCAGGTCAGTCCTGGGGGCATCTCATAGCCAGCAGGGAGCTCCAGGTCAGTCCTGGGGGCATCTCATAGCCAGCAGGGAGCTCCAGGTCAGTCCTGGGGGCATCTCATAGCCAGCAGGGAGCTCCAGGTCAGTCCTGGGGGCATCTCATAGCCAGCAGGGAGCTCCAGGTCAGTCCTGGGGGCATCTCATAGCCAGCAGGGAGCTCCAGGTCAGTCCTGGGGGCATCTCATAGCCAGCAGGGAGCTCCAGGTCAGTCCTGGGGGCATCTCATAGCCAGCAGGGAGCTCCAGGTCAGTCCTGGGGGCATCTCATAGCCAGCAGGGAGCTCCAGGTCAGTCCTGGGGGCATCTCATAGCCAGCAGGGAGCTCCAGGTCAGTCCTGGGGGCATCTCATAGCCAGCAGGGAGCTCCAGGTCAGTCCTGGGGGCATCTCATAGCCAGCAGGGAGCTCCAGGTCAGTCCTGGGGGCATCTCATAGCCAGCAGGGAGCTCCAGGTCAGTCCTGGGGGCATCTCATAGCCAGCAGGGAGCTCCAGGTCAGTCCTGGGGGCATCTCATAGCCAGCAGGGAGCTCCAGGTCAGTCCTGGGGGCACTTCAGGAGCAGCAGACGGGTGAAGTGACCTCTGGGCTCTGCCTGGTTGGCTGAGGGTGATGTCCCACTCTGTCACCACAGGGCCAGGTTGTGTTGGCTCCTTGTCATCGTGGGCAGCCACAGCCACCCGAGGGCTGTGCAGGCCCAGGGGTTGTTGTTGGGTGTCTTGGGTGGTGATTGGAAGTCTGAGCAATTGCTCTAAGGTCTGAGCAGTTGTCTTACTGATTTGAGTGGAGTTGGAGCAACCTGCTCTGGTGGGAGGTGTCCCTGCCCAGGGCAGGAGTTGGGACTGGATGACCTCTAAGCTCCATCCCAGCTCCTAACCCCCTGTGGTTCCATGTTCTCCATGCCTCATGAGCTGGAGAACATGCCAATCCCCTGAGGAGCTGCAGGTGTGTGGAACCCCAACCCTGAGTGTTTCTCTTGCCTTCCAGATGATCACCTTGGTGGTTGGCATCGTCATCCTCATCCTGTCCCTCCTTGCCACCTACTTCATCAATGCCAAAGCTGATGTGCTGTTCAGCCTCCCACGGGACCCCGCGGCCGTGTCCTACTGAAGCTGCTCTGGGGCTGCACCAGCTTTGGATTAGAGTTCTCCAACAACACTGGAGTGTTTCTCTCTCTGGACAGAGACACAAATGGTTCTTTCCAGAACTTCCATGCTCAGATCCAGGGGCTGAGCCATGAGACCTGAGAGACTTTCCCAGAAAACGGCACCGACCAAGCCCTGAGGCAACTGATAAACTCCCACGTTCCTGTTTGATTTGTCCTTTCTTCTGAGCAGCTCGAGGGGATGGTCCTGGATGCTGCTGAGATGGCCACGTGAGGGATGTTCTCCCGAGAGGGTGGAGGAGTTTCCTCTGGGATATCACAGAGCAGAGGATTCCCATGGGGTCTGGCAGCACAGGATCCCTGTGGATGTCCCCCCAGTGCCAGGTGTGTTGGCCAGGGGAGGAGGTGGAAAAAGGACCTTTATTTTTTTTTTCAGTGGTGCAATATCTTCTGGGGTTTGTGTATATATATATAAATAGTCCCATTTAATTAAAAAAATCTCCTCTTAATGAACCTTCACCTGCTTTGTCTTCACTGCTGCCACAGGGAGCTAGGAAATCTGTCTTGCTCAGCTGTGCTGGGACACTCTGAGCCTTCCCTTCCTCTGGACACTGGGGCTGGCATTGCAAGAGAAGGTTGTGTGGAGACCTCATGGCAGGACCTAGAGGGGCTGGAGCATGAGGAGAAGGGGCTGGAGAACTCCTGAGGGGGTTCAGCATGGGGAAAAGGAGGTTCAGGGGAAGCTCCTACTCTCTCCAACTCCCTGCCAGGAGGTGCAGCAGGTGGGATCAGGCTCTGCTCCCAGGGATGGGACAAGAAGAAATGGCCTCAAGCTGTGCCAGGGACTTCTCCCAGGTCTCTGGAGGTTGATTTTGGTGCAGTCAGGGGAGAAGTGAGACACAGATCTCCGAGTTCCTCTCCTGGCTCAGCACCTCAAGCCCAACTTCAGCAGCAGGTAATGAATTACTTCTTTCCTAGCACAAAGTGCTACCAGTGTCTTCTCCCAGTGCTGCTTTCCTGGATTGATCCCAGGCTTGGTCCAACACACCTTGCACAGAGCTCACCTGCTGCACTCCGTGCCTAAAGCTGCCAGAGCTGCCAAGTGCTTGGCCAGAGCTCAAAGCTGCCCAGCAGCTCCAAGAGTCAGGAAGAACTGGTTAGACCAGGAATGATGCAAAAAAACACCTCCAAAATGTAGGAGTTCTGGAAGAAATTCAAGCACTGAAGCTTTGGAGCAACAAGCCAAAGGCTAAGGAGGCAGGAGAGAGCATTCCCAGCACCTAACTCCACTGGGATGCTGCAGTGGAGGAGGTTTGGCACCATTTCCCTTGCAAAGGTTTCTAATTACCAAAGCAAATTGGCTTTGGGTGGGGAACTCCAGAGAGCAGCTCTGCAGGAAGGACCTGGTGGACAGGAGCTGTCCCTGAGCCTTGCCCTGGGGTCAAAGGCATCCTGGGGGTATCAGGAGGAGCTTTGCAGGTCAGGGAGGGAATCCTGGTCTCTACTCAGCCCTGGGGAGGCACAGCTGGAATGTTTTGTCCAGCTCTGGGATTCTCAGGACAGGAGGGTCACAGGTTGGACCTTGATGGTCTTGGAGGTCTTCTCCAACCTCAACGACTTTGGGGTTCAGTTCCTCCCCCAAACTCCTTTTGCTTCCATTGCCAAAGTCAAACAAATGCACATTTCTGCCAGCACCCAAAGCCCTTCTCCCACCAATGTGCAGAGGGGAAAGAGCTGATTCCCTGCTGCTCATTAGCATTAGGGATGCTCCAATTAATGCACAAACCTCAGGAGTGATGCAGAGAGGAGCATCAGGGGAGTAACCAACGCTGAGGTCTGCACAGCTGGGACCAGAGGCTGCTGGGAGGGGAAGGGCAGGAGGGGCAGGGGACACAGAACCAACTGGACACACTGGGAGGGTGATGAGGCACAGGTTGCCCAGAGGAGCTCTTGTTGCACCATCCCTGGAGATTGTCCCAGGCCAGGTTGGATGGGGCTTGGAGCACCCTGGGCTGGTGGGAGGTGTCCCTGCCATGGCAGGGGTGGGACTGGCTGAGCTTTAAGGTCCTTCCAACCCAAACCATTCTGGGATTCACAGAGAACCATCACCTCAAGTGCAGCTGTGCCAATGCTTCTCCACAGAATCCCAGAATCATTGAGGTTAGAAAAGACCTCCAGAATCATCAAGTCCAACCTGGGACTGATCTCCACCTTGTCAACCAGCCCAGAGCACCGAGAGGCCTCCAAAACCAGCGAGGTGACCATCACCACCTTGTCAACTAGACCAGAACACCAAGTGCCACATCCAGTGGCTCCTTGAACACCTCCAGGGATGGTGATTCCACCACCTCCCTGGGCAGTTCCAATGCCTGACAACCCTTTCCATGGGGAACTTCCTCCTGATGTCCAACCTGAACCTCCCTTGGTGCCGTTTGATTCCACATCCTCTTGTCCCATCCCTCCAGAGAAGCATCTAACCCCACCTGGCTGCAGCTCCTGCCAGGGAGCTGTGGAGAGGAAGAAGTTCCCCCTGAGCCTCCTGCTCCCCATGCTGATGCCCCTCAGGTCCTGAGGTTCCCTTGGCTCCCTCCACCCCCAGGAGCCGCGTGTGGTCCCCGAGCAGCCCAAGAAGTGCAGCTGGCTCTGCTGACTCCTCCACGGAGCCCCGAGGCATCTCAGGGAGACACGCGAGCCCTCCCCCTCCCGCACACACTTCAATTTCCTCTCCTCCCTCCCCGCTCGGCTCTTCCAGGGCTTTGGGCACAAAAAGAAGATGCCACTGACTCTCCTGACCCCTGAACTCAGCTGCCTCCCGCGGGGCTGAGCCCAGGGAGGAGCTCTGCAGCTGCCCCTGTGCCCTGGGGGGAGACATATGGGGGTGACAGTCCCTGAGACAAGGAGAGAGGAGAGGAAATGTGTGTTTTCTTAGCGCCCTCCCTGCTCCTGGGAACTTGATGGCTCTGGAATATTAAGAGGCAGGAAAGTTAATTAATACCCAGAACAAAGCCGGAGCTGTTTGGGCTTCTGGGAGAAGGAAACGGTGGAGACAGGAAGGAAAAATTGGTGTCTTCTTCAGGGATGTTTCGGCAGCAGCTCAAGCAGAGCTGAAAGCTGTGGTGGGGGGGAAAGGATTAAGTTTGTGGGGAGGGAAGAGGCTTTGTGGGAAAGGGCAGGAGAGTTTGCTGGGAGAGCCATGGGAAGAGCTCCTGGTGCTCAGCTGGGGCCGTGGTGGTGCTGGTGCTGACCCTGCCACCAGGTCCTGCTGAGGGAACAAAGGCAGCTGAGGACGAGAGCAGCAAGCCAAGCCCTTGGCTGGCACCCAGCAGCGAGCCCAGCCCGACATGTGTTTGGGATCAGGGGCTGAGTGCTACAAATAGGAGCAGAGGCAGTGCCAGGTTGGATCCTGCCCAGGGTCCAGCTCTCCTGCCACTCTTGTGGCACTAGGAGAGGCCCCAAAGCCCAGAGTGACCCCAAATCCACCCTACAGGGGTACCTGGGCACCCCTTCCCACGCTGGGCACTGTCCCAGCTCCTCTCTGGGGACAGTGACAACAGCCAGAAGGATCTCACCTTGCCCATGCCCACCCAGCTGTGTGGAGAAAAATGCCAGGGATGGAGCTACAAGGAGGTAGTTTGGGGCAGGAACAGCTTGTTCTCCTCCATCCTGCCTTGTGCAGCTCCTGAGGGCTCTTCCTGGCATCTCCAGCCTCGTTGGCCCACAGGTCCAGCAATGCCTCAGCAGAGGAGGAAGAGGTTGAGGAGGATCTGCTACACAGGTGATGTTTCCCCGGTGGAGGAAGGGGTTGAGGAGGAGTAGGGGGTGAGGATGCTTAGGATGGAGGAGGATGTTTAGGACCTCTGTGTTACACAGGTGATGTTTCCCTGGTGGAGGAAGGGGTTGAGGAGGAGTAGGGGGTGAGGATGCTTAGGATGGAGGAGGATGTTTAGGACCTCTGTGTTACACAGGTGATGTTTCCCTGGTGGAGGAAGGGGTTGAGGAGGAGTAGGGGGTGAGGATGCTTAGGATGGAGGAGGATGTTTAGGATGGAAGAGGATGCTTAGGATGGAGGAGGATGCTTAGGACCTCTCAGCTAGGCAGGTGATGTCTCCCCGGCGCCAGCACAGCTCAGGCAGAGGTTCTGGGGCTAATCAAGATCGACGTAGGAACAAAACAGCATCTCTGCAGCTCACAGCCAGCAGAGAGGGAGAAGCAGATGGGCTGGAGGAGGCAGGAGCTGCTGCTAAATGGATTGATGGAGAGGCCTTTAAGGGAGATGGATTGGGGACGGAGCCGCTGGAGGAGAGGACTGGGGTGGCCACGCTGTGAATGGGGCAGGGGCCCAGGGACAGGATGGGAAGGGAGAAAGGCCTGCAGATAACAGATGGATGGACACAAAGACTGGAAGGGAAGAGAGGGACAGATGGACAAGCAATAGAGAGAGTCAGGAGAAGAGAGGGATCTGGACATAATTAGATTGGATCTGATTATGACAGACTCGATTAGAGCAATATTATGATCAGGAGCTTCTGTCGCTATTTGGCTTTTCGGGGGAACAAAGCCAGGGAGCAGCACGGAAGGGGCACGAGCAGAGGCGCCGGGAAACGGGGCAGGATGAAAGGGAAGGGGCTCCTTGGGAAAGCTGTCAGTGGTGGAGCTGACAGATTGGCTGGTTACCGAGCCCCAGGACCCCGCCGCAACCTGCGAGCGCAGACAAAAGGCTCCCGAGCCCTGGAGCTCTGCTCGCCAGGGGCTTCCTCCTCCAGCCACAGCCACGGGTGCTGAGACACCTCCCCAGGCACACCTGGGCGAGCTCAGACTCCCCCCAAAGCCTCCAGTCCTGGGGTGACCTCATTGGGGTGTCCAGGACATGAAGGAGCTGCCAGGGAACACAGGAGAGACTGTTGGAAGGGGCAGGACAGGGGAAATGGCTTCAGCTGGCAGAGAGGAGGGTTGGATTGGATATTGGGAAGGAATTTCTCCCTGTGAGGCTGGTGAGGACCAGGCA